TTTTACTATATATAATTTTTATTAAATAGTTTTATTTGACTAAGAATTAATTATCATTTATATAAGATATATATATATAAGCATTATTTATAATTATATATAAAAATCAAAAGACCTGCATTTTAAAAGAAGGAGACTACTTATAATATTATGTTTTTTTCTTAATCGCTTATTTCATATGCCGCTGAAAAAAGTAAAATTATTGTTTCTCATACAATAAAGCGCACGTTAGTTGGACCTGCAAAGTTTTTTTAGGCAGATGCTTTAATCAAATTGTGCCATTTAGACCTCAAATAACCCATCCCACCACAATTAATTCTTTCTTCAATTTTCTTTTACCTCTATTCCTCTTCTTAATTTCCTTTTCATCTACTCCTCTTGGATTTCCTCTCGCTCTTCCAGTCTTTCAATAAAATTATAGGGCTGTTTGTTTTGACATTTTAAAATCAATTATTAGCTATATGTTGACTTTAATCAAATAAATTAGATATTTCAAATTACAAACAATAATAATTATTAATTATTAAATATCAATTATCAACTATCAATTATCAATTGTATTAAAAAAATTAATCCAAACAGCTCTTATAAGTCGAGAAAGCATGTTTGGTTACCATTTTTTCTTTCTAATTAATTCCATTTTTCAGCCTGAGAAAAACCCTAGTGAAAGTGTGTTTCCTCGTAGCAAGCTCAATGAGGCTGTGAATTGTTGTTGACAAAAAAGACAACGTAGATTGCTTTTGGACATTCTCCCTTTTTTCGTCGATTTTAGATTCTTCATCATCATTGTTAAGTAATATAATATTCTTCCCTTCTGAAATTGAACATTGAGTCTCTAGATATTTGTTTAGATTGGGGGATTTGGAGGGGAAGGGCAAAAGGGCGAGGTGATGATGCTTGAATGCTTCCTCTTTTTCTGATTTCTTTATTAATGAAGTTGCGATGAAATTTCTCCCACCCCTTTATTTTTAATCTTTTTAAATTAGAAGAGTTGTGAGAGATTGAGTTTACATATTTAACTTTTGTAAAATTTTTTTTAAAAAATAATTTTTTTGCTTACATAAAAGCATGCTTTAATTAGATTTAATTTAAAATTTTAATTTAATTCATTTATTATAAGTAGAGCTTTGTGTTTAAAGTATTAATTTAAAATTTAATATAATTTAGATCAAATTACACAAATTTTTATTGAATTAGATTAGGATAGGGTTAGTTCAGGTCAAGAAATAACTTAATTAAAATTAATTAATTTTTTAATT